TCTGCAGGGTCTCAGGCTGCAAATCCCACCTGAGACCCTGTAGAGCCCCCCACAGGTCCTGCACAGCCAACCTGAGACCCTACAGAGCCCACCACAGATCTTGCACAGCCCACCAGAGACCCTGCAGAGCCAACAATAGATCCTGTAGAGTCCACCTGAGACCCCACACGGCCCACCACAGATCCTGCACAGCCAACCTGAGACCCTGTAGAGCCCACCACAGATCCTGCACAGCCAACCTGAGACCGTGCAGAGCCCACCACAGATCCTGCACAGCCAACCTGAGACCCTGCAGAGCCAGTCTGAGAACCTGCAGGGCCCACCATAGAACCCACAGAGCCCACCAGAGACTTGGCACACCTTATCATAGATCCTGCACAGCCCACCATAGAACCCACACAACCCACCTGATACTCTCAGGTGGGCTGTGCAGAATCTACGGTGGGCTCTGCAGGGTCCCTTTCCCTGCACACGTGCACTCCTCTTACTTGCAGCTCCCCAGCCTGCCTCCAGGACATTCGCCGTTAGCCTCGGGCTGCCCGCTGCTGGGCCCCAGCCTCCTCCGCAGGACCAGCGATGCTGAGCCCAGCCCTGCCTCCTCCAGCGGGAGCTCTATCATTAGGCAGCCTCTCGCTGGCCCTTGTGGCCGCCTAGTTTGCTTGATTAGGCAGCTGAGGCTGCCTGTTACTGTGCAGCCCGGCTCGCCACACTGTTTTGGGGGGGTGTTTTTTGCCGCCCCCTGGAAAGTGCCGCCCAAGGCAAACAGCTTGTTTGCCTTGCAATGGATACTCCCCTGGTGACAGCAGTATAGGTTGGACATTCTAAATATTTTTTTTTTTATTGGAGAAACATTCACTAGCACAGAAACTATTGTTATCACCTTCTGCTTGCATTTGTGTAATAATCTGGTGCGATTAATCTTGTTCAATGACTAACCTGTGTTTTTGTTTTTTACATTTTTTATTGACACTTTAAATGATACTAAAAAGTGATTTATGTCTCCAGCAGCGCGCAGTGTTCAATCATGAGAACATCCCAACTATGGGAGAACTGTAAGTGTAATTTTGTTTTCAATATATTCTTTTCTAATATCTTTAATTTGTCAAATTAGAATTGCTTTCACACACAGTGTTTACAGCTAGTGTACATATACAACACATCTGTTAAAAGAATATAAAGTATCCTTTCCAGTAAACTCAGCTTGTTTGGTTCCAACCCATGTCACAAATAATTGTTGTGGTCTGTAGAAGAGTGTTGTCTTCGAAAAGAAATGTGGTATTCTGCCCCTTTCTCCTCATCAGTCTCTTCAGTAGAGGTATTGACTTCAGATGCAGATAAACTTACCAACCAACCTGTTAGGAAGCACAGTAATGTTTATGTGCTTTGGCATTCTATGAAATTGTAGCACATGTACTAGACCATATAGGATAATGCCATTTCTCTTTCCCAAGACTAGTGCTTCTGCTTCTCAATGAAAATGTCCAGAGTTTTCATGAGCACTGTGGGACATAAACACTTCTTTGGTTCAGAAAGCCTTATATCACCGAGTGCAATGCAAAGCGTCGGATGCAGTGGTGTAAAGAATGCCGCCACTGGACTCTAGACAAGTGGAGACGTGTTTTCTGGAGTGACGAATCACGCTTCTCTGTCTGGAAATCCGATTGGCGTGTCGGGGTTTGGCAGTTGCCAGGAGAATGGAACTTGCCTTGGACTGGATTGTGCCAAGTGTAAAGTTTGGTGGAGGGGGGATTATGGTCTGGGGTCGTTTTTCAGTGGTTAGGCTTGGCCCCTTAGTTCCAGTGAAGGGAACTCTTAAGGCATCAGCATACCAAGACGGGAGGGAGACAGATAATTTCTCATAAGAGTGCTTCAGGTCACTATACAGAGCTATCCTGCTGTGCTTCCAGTTGAAATGCAGCAACAGCTTTTGTCCAAGGTCCTGACTGTGGAAAAATAGCAGGACTGTCACTTATTTCTGAATTATTAGAGGTGTGCCTAATTACACTGGAAAGAGATTTTGATCAGTGGAGCTGCGAGTCCCTGACCTGAATCACAATGATGTTCCTCAACCTTGTGGTTACCATCAGTTAAAGGAATTTATACAGGAAGTTATCAATGTGGGCACAATGCAACACCAGCTTGGGGAAAAGAATAATGCATAAACTGTGTATATCTATTGGGTTGTAATCTGTTTCATGTACTTTCTCATAGATATCAGTCCCTGTATAACTATACTCCACGTAATGAAGATGAGCTGGAGCTCAGAGAGGGGGATGTGATCGATGTTATGGAAAAGTGTGATGATGGATGGTTTGTGGGTAAGTTTTTCTATTTTTTTTACCAATTACTAATCGGAAAACATTTCAATTTGCCTTGAAGGGAATATGTCAATCTGTTTATCTGTCCTTGTTAAGGCTTCTGTTTAACACTGGAAGCTGCCATTGGCTGGCAACAGGAAGCAGTACTAGTTCTGAGAGAGGTACCTCAGTGTGTGACACTGCATTGCTCACAAACACCCCTCCTTTCAGAATCAACTAGTGCAGATCTAATGCTGGGCTTTCTTAACAGAATTTCCTGCATGCTCTGCACTGGGGATGATTCCATAAGGCATTTGCAACACACTTCTTGCAGTGTGTATGTAGGCAAAGGTCTTGCACCAAACCCTGCAATGTTTTCAATATTAGTATTGATGTGTGCAACTTATTCAAGTATTAGACACTTTTACTGGATGATGCTACTGATGCCACAAATTCATAAACAAATTGGTTATAAGGAAAGTGAGGATAAATAGGACCTCTTTCATGCTGGAGTAAAGTGCTGACTGTGTCACACATGTAATTAGTGTGTTGCATCTTTGAGACATTTTTATGTCAAATTCGGTCTTAACATTTAATACCTTTTATTACTTTCCCAACTTCTCCAAATAACTTCCCTGCCTGTAAAACACGCCCACTTCGCAGGAGAGATAGTTGTGACTGTTTTGTCAGAGTTGCAACAGATTCACACACACCTTGATATGTACATGAATCTGTCACAAGTTCCACCATATTGTACTATTGCAGGAAAGATTTCTAACATTCTAAGATTTCTAACCAATATCTGTGCCCCTCTTTTTGCATACCAGGGGCTGTATCTTAGAAGCACCCATACTAAACGCATACAGTAAAGATTTCATACAAGTAATGATTCATAAATTACAGAACAGGAAAATGAATGAAATCAATGAGACATGTAAACTTTAATGTGAAGTAAAAGCATAAAGTAGTATGCCAACTATAGAGCAGGGATCTCAAAGTACCAACTCAAACGGATCGCGTACCTGACTTTCGGGAGCAGCTACACAGTCTGCATCTCTGTGGGATGCAGGCCGCATAGCTGCTCCTGTCACTGCTGGCACTTAGATCCTTTTGGCCGGCGCTCTGACATCCTTCACTGAGCACAGGGAGGGGGGGTGTTGTATAATTGTGTGTGTTTTTATTATTTATTGAGGGGGAAAGGGGAGATTGTATTTCTGTGTATTAGGCACACCACAATGATATGCGATATGATTGCATACAGTTAGAAAACAATCACTCTCCCTGGATGCACGGTTGATGTGTCCAGGGATAAGGATTGATTCCTAACTGCATGTAACCATATCACATATCATTACATGCGGCGTGCAGGCGTTTACTGATCATTAACTTGAACAGGTGACAGTTGCTGCATGTAAACGCCAGTTTATGGATTCCTGCTGCAGGAAAACGCAAGTTCCTGATGCAGGAATCCCTAATCGCACCTAAACATCCGAGTGTGAATGCTGCCTTATTGTGTGTATATTAGTGTGTGTATTTCTCGGTGTGTGTGGGGAGGGGTGCATTTCTGTGTGTGTGGGAATGTGTACATATTTCTGTGGGTGTAAGGGAGTGCATATTTATGGGGGTGTGCGTATTTCTGTGTGGGGGGATGCATATTTCTGTGTGTGTAGGGGGGTGCATATTTCTGGGGGTGTAGTGGGGTGCATTTCTGGGTGTGAATAAATGTGTGAATTTGTCGGTCCTCTATGATTAAAACTAAAACCTGTGGGAAAAAACACACACATACTGACACTGCACACATATACACATGTATACATACTGATATGACACACACAGAAATATTAACACACATACTGACATCACTCATTCTGACAATACACACAAAGCATCACAAAAACATATACTGATATTGCATACAAAGAAACAAACGCATATACTGACATTAGAAACACACGCAGACATTAACACTTGAATCGTATGTTATCCACATAGGAGAAACAAACGTGTCCAGTGGCCCCCAAGTGAATTGAGTTTGCGACCCTTGCTATATATGAGTATATTTCGTGTCTAGCAAAAACCAATTGTCCACATAATGAACAATTAGCGGTTATACTTTGACACATGGCGGATACATTGAAGGGCAGGCAATATTAGTACTTTCTGAACACTCATTGAACTGAAACCCTGTAATGTGTGCATTGTATATATTTGTAATCACAGCTACCATCCTTAGTAACACTGGTGCTTTCTGTTGGTTCGGAGACAAGAGCACTAGGGGTTGCTTAGAAATCATATTAGAGTGAAATTACTTTTGGATATTCCGATTACCTTTTCTATAAGCAAAATAAATAACGACGCAATTATAAGCTAAAGACATCATATGAGGGCCCAGACAAAAAGTATGACTACAACCCGTCTGATGGGAATACGAATAAATGTTCACTGACATACTTCCTTCTCTTTTCAGGCACCTCCAGAAGAACAAAGTTCTTTGGAACTTTCCCTGGAAACTATGTGAAAAGGCTGTGATGGTGTTACGCCTGTTGCCTCACTTGACACATCTATAAGACTTTGCTAGGAAGCACGCTTCTTGTTTCTGACCAGAACCAGTTCATATGTAATCCTTGCTGCCACCCGCCAATGTTTTCTAGCAGTATTAGAGCCAGTCCGGCCCTGTTCTCTACACTACTGATGATATTCTAGCACCAATCATTATTATTCACCAAATTATTATAATCAGGGCACCCACTGCCTCTGTATGTGTGCTTTTTGAAGTTGGTTCACTCAATTAGCATTGCAGTGCAATACAGTCCAGCTAAAGGAGGTATTAACACATTGGTGTGTTTGGTTACATGAACAATGTGAATGAAAGAAACCTAAAAGAGGTTGAAGGATAAAGTGTGATGTCACAGTTATCACTGGTACAAAGATCAGCACTGGCCTTGTCTCTCTAGATATCGGAAACGTGACATGTTTCCTGTGAGAGGCAGGTGTACACAGTCAAAGAATCCCAGTTAAAATGATGGAAATGCTATTATGAAAATGGTCCTCTGGAATAAAACGACATTTTTCCTAAACTGGGAGCAAACAGTTGTTGATGATAAATAAGATTTCATTACAAAATAAATCTTTTCCAAAACAGAATAAAAGTAAATAGAACATTATGTTGCATATGAATGTTTTACTTTTATACAGTGGAGGAAATGTAGAAAGCGTTTCATGACGTGCAAACGTTGATGTAATGATGGCAACCAATGACATGCTGTTATTAGAAAGCAAATGTCCTATTGGTTGGTGCAAACTGCATGCATTGGGTTGTTGAACAGGACTGCAAACCTAAAGATAAATGCAAAAAATGACGGATACTATTGTGACTCATTGTACCAAAGAATGCAATGACAATGATAGTTCTCCGAGGTAAGCCTGTTGGCATTACACTCATAAGACACTGCATTCCTTAAATATCCATACTACCTTTTGTACTTTGGTCATTCTTTATGCACAGGACTATCTGATTGTTTAAGCTGGTATAACACAAGTCTCAACCTGTCAGCCATAAACTACTTCTATATTGTGTCAATTCACACCCAATTTATAAAACCTGATTATAAACCCCCTTCAGCTGGCACTGACAGGTCAATAAAGTGTTTAAGAAGTGGAAGTGCTTGTGTTGCCTATAGAATGCGGTCAGAATACAGCTTTTCTTTTTTTTTTTAGTTTAGGTCAGAAAAACGAATACAATGAGAGTCATAGAAAACAAAAAATGCATTTTTTAGCATCATTCAACCTTATTTACCATGATGTATTTTATGACCAATTATCATTATTGTTTTGTTTAATGGCAAACTATAGCAGCATGTAAAGCAGACCAGTCTGACAAAGTTACTCAAGACTTTTCATTTTTAGCAGAACATCATTCTAGGTGCCCATACACTGTACGATTCTCGTACGAGAATCGCGGGAAATCCCGCGATCGTACGAGAATCGTACAGTGTATGGAAGGCGTGCGACTGTTTCTACTGTACGGTCGCACGTCTTCCGTCGAACAAGCAGGCTTGAAAACCCGCCGGGAATCGTACGATTCTCGGCGGGTTAGTGGCCTGCTTGTTCGACAACTGCCGAACGGGCCGGTGTGCGCACGCGCACACTGCCCGTTTGCAGTAATCGTAAGCCTGCACCTCACTGCGGTCATCGGAAGCCCGCCCCTCAGTGGGGTGGGCTTTCGATGATCGCAAGTACGATCTGCCCGTCCAAGATGGGCAGATCGTACGAGCTTTCAATAAGCTTACGACCATCGCAAGACTAGAGTCTTGCGATGGTCGTAAGGTGTATGGGCACCTTAAGTCATAGTCATTTAGGTCTCATTCACACGAGAAAAGGCCGGCATATACAGCTCCGTGCTGCGTGCACGGCCGTATCGGGCAGCTCCCGGGAAGAACAGGGGCTGCGTGTGATTAGTATGCAGCCCCTGTCCTTCTCTATGGGAATACATGGCCGTATGCTGCCCTATGCTCACCGATCCTGTCTGCGTCCGTGCCGGGACACCTGCACCCGTACAGACCTGCAATTGAGGTCAGCGTAGGGCAGTGTATGGCTGCGTATTCCCATAGAGAAGGACAGGGGCTGCGTACTAATCACACGCAGCACCTGTCCTTCCTGGGAGCTGCTGGATATGGCCGTGCACGCAACACGGAGCTGTATGTGCCGGCTGTTTCTCATGTGAGAAAATATTGCCATTGACCAAAAAGGACTTCATATGAAACATATCTTTGTAGACAAAACTGGCTCAATCAATAAAGAAAACAAAGCTGATGTAGACAATGTTGAAACGGCCAATCAGGTTTCTTCAAAGACACATGAATTTTGACTGGCCACTATGGGTTGCAGCACTTTGCATACCATCATCGTTTTTTTGCACTTGCAGAATAAGTCTGTGTTAGATTACCTAACACGGATCCATAATGGTAAGTGCTCATAATAAGTATCACTAACATTTGAAATGTGGCTTCTAGTAAATTCCTCCTGGTAGGAGTCCCTAGCATACCAGTGAAAAATACAATGACCGGGGAAATGGCATTAAGGATCTGTACAGACGGTATTGAAGGACCTTGTAAAAGTACATAAAGCAAGCAAGAGCTATATGGGAAGCAGTTTTTTTCTACTTCGCTAGAGTATGACTTGCAGTTTGAGTGATTCAGTCTTTTCATTATTCTGAATTTCCTTGTATGCATTCACAGGGTTATCCTAAACATTTATTACCCAGTGCGATATATAATATCAAGTTTTCTCACTTCATATATAGAACATTTATGTTTGAGTTTCACATTTTCATGTAGAATTCTAGCATTACAAACCAACAATTCACAGTTGCTAAGACAGGCATTCGCAATCACATATGATTCTGAATATGCCGAATGTATTATCTAGTATGAGCATAAGCCTACTTGCTATACTACAGCGTGCCATAATCAGAAGGCTGGTTGCTGGTATAAAGCACACACTTTAAGGGTCTGTTCAAATTAGTGTGTTGCAGCAAAGAGTGGTAAGATAGGCGTTTTACTGTGCATTACCGCAAAGCATGGCAATGCATGAAACATAGTGTAATGCCATTTATCTTGAATGGCACCAGAGTGCACTTGCATTTGAATGCGTTGCAATGCACAGATCTGCACAATGTCTTTGAACACCTGAATTCTGCAAGTTCACATGTGCGCATTACCGCAATGCTTTAATGTGAACAGGCCCTTAGAGCAGTTTTTACAAGGGTTAAGTGGCAGCTGTTATAACTGCACATATCTTTGAAGAAATACATATATTGGTATTTTATGCATTATCCATAGTTCAAACAAATATGTTACTCGCATGGCAGGACAAATCCCAAGGGCCAGGAAACCAACTAGCATAAAACCTTCTTGTTTTAAAATGTTCCCAGTCTGCCACTTTCAAAATTGGAGGGACCAGCTGCTGAATTCTACATTATTTTGTCCACCTCGAACATTTGAACACAGCAGAAATTATATTAGGATCACTTGACACACTTTAAAATGTCACTAAACTCAGGAGTAGGGTTGCACAGATACCAAGTACAGTACTCGGTACAAGTACGAGTACATGTACCGATACTTTTGAGCTCCAAGACTAGACTAGAGAAAAATTCAAAACTTAGGAGGCCGCTGTCATTTGTAAGGAGCACACGGAGCTCCTGGGATTTGTACATCTCCGTTTTAATGTACGATTTTGTTTTTATAAATATAAATAAAGGGATGCACAGATACCAGTTTTGCAAGTACGAGTACTGGTCCTTGCCGAGTACTTACAAGTACGAGTACTGATACATTTTTGTTTATTGTCATGTGACAGTTTTTCTAAAACAATGCAGACTAATGATTTTAGGACAGTGGTGGAGCGCCAGAGCCAGGTCCCAGCTGCAACCCTGGTAGTTCTCATGAAAATGCCAAGTATCTGCACTGGTACTCAAAAAGTATCTGTGCAACCCTACTCAGGAGTTTATCTTAAAAATGTATTCAAGTACCTTAACTAATAACAGAAATGTATCTTATTTGTGTATCACTCGGCTGTAGATCCTCAAATCATCTCTGAATTGCTGCTGACACTGTCCTTCCTTCTGGAGGGTAACTACTTTATTTTTCTTCCCAGTGACCCCTGTGTGTGCTGTAAAGTAGTCATGGTTCTAAGCTCACTCCTGTGATGGACTACAATCCCAGGTTCAGTTTACTTATTTGTATTGAGATTGTAGTCCATCACTGGAGTGAGCTTGAAACGGTGACTACTTTACAACACACACAAGGACCATGGGGAACAAAAGTAGCCACCCTCCAGAAGGAAGGACAGTGTCAGCATGGATTCAGAGATGGTTTGAGGATCTACAGCCGAGTGATACAAAGATAAGATACATTGTTGTTAATAGTTCAGCTACTTGGATAGATTAAGATTTAACACCTGAGTTTAGTGTCACTTTAACTACTGGATATTTTTCTAAGGCTCTGTTCACACCTGGGCGTATCGTATATGCGATTCGCGGTTAAAAAACACGCGACAAACGCGCGTTTCCGAGGGCTACTTGGCTGTATCCCAATGGAAACGCGCGACACAAACGCCGCAAAGAAGCTCATGTACTTTTTCAGGCGTAGGCCGTTTTGTAGCACGTTCAGACGGGCTGAAATACGGCAAGGTGTGAACCATACCCATAGAAAACAATGGGATTTCATGTTTGAGCGTTTTGTAGAGCGTTCGTAGAGCGTTGAACGCGCTACAAAACGTACAGGTGTGAGCCAGGTCTAAGAATCTCTGACCTGCCAGCAGCTTAATCCACATAGTTTGACAATATGTTTTAAAAACTTTGGTATGGGTACAGTAGCATTTATTTCAAACATTGGTATAGCTTTTAACTCAAGGCTTCCATAGCCTGAAGAAGATAAATGACAACCAGTTGAAAAAATAATGAAATGGGTAACTGATTTGGGGTATTAAATCCTAATTGACATTTTAAACCTTCAGCATAAAAGTAACTAGAGATTGTTCCAGTATTAAACGTTGATCACCTCTCTCTTGTTTGGATGATGGGTGAAGAGCAATCCGCCCTTCATTTCTGTGGTGAGCGGTTGCAGCTTCGCAAGCGATTTTTTATTAAAATCAACCTATACCTAATGCTAACTAAACTATGTGAAAAGTTGATGTAGATAAATATTAAAACAGCAGATACCCAAACACCTTAATTGGCACCTCATGTCTGGAAGGAGCAGGCTCTCTACTCTTTAGACTGCCACATTTTTCAGATTACTTATTAAGAGTAAGGGAGACAGACTTCTAGACGGGTTTTTTTGGTTTATTCTCTGCAAACTATCCACCACACTCAATGCACTTCCACACAGCACTGAATATATCACAAAATGCCATTGTGAGATGCTCAGCTGTTAGGATATGATTTGTGACCTTTGGCAGCTCGCAATCAAAAATAATACCAAGCTTTTGTATCCTGACCAGTGTTATATTTTAGTCCAGCAATTCAGGTTTTGATAGATCTAGTTAGCCATCGTTTTAGAGAAAGTGCCCCCTAACAAGCCCATGAGCCTGTTGGCGCTGATTCTCTTTTATACTTGGCTACCCGAGGTGTGCTGTATTCATGAGGCATGAAT